TTCTGGCTCTCTTTACATCTGCTGTCCCCTCATGAGTAACCTCAAGAACTTCCCACATTTCCTTGGCAGATTTGCATTGGGAGACCCTAAAAAACTCATCCATATTAAGTGCGAAGTAATTATATTTTTTGCGAGTGCAATCATTTTGAATTTTTTTCTTTTCTTCATCATTTAGACTGGACCATTCTTTTTCTGTAATTAAAGGGTCATTAGCAATTACATCTCAAACATTCCTATCAATAGATTCAATAAAGATCTTCATCCTAATTTTCCAAAAAGGATAATCTGTTCCACAAAACAGTGGAGGTCTGTTAATAGAAGCTCCCTCAGAAAATGGTAATCTGTTTTCAGCCATTAAGGATTTGATCGAAATACTTGAATAACTCTCAAGAACCTTGCTCTTGATACCAATTGTTAGAAAAGTAGGCTGAGATCAAGAGGGGGGGGGGGTGAATTGATCTTTGAAAGATTTTTGTAATTAACATATTATCTATTTGTAAAAATAAGATTTCAGATCTGTTCTTGAATCACAAAGCAATCAATCAACAATAAACGCAACAACCGAATTAAAAGAGGAGAAAGGTTTAGAAAGATATCACCGGTGTTTATACTGGTTCACCCAATACCAGGGCTACGTCCAGTCTCCAGCCAAATTCCAGCTGGGTTCCACTAGATCAAATGTTTTACAGATTACAATCTTACACTTAATCTACCACAAGAACCACAATTCCAGTTCCTGCACCTAACCTTTCACCAAGAACCAAATTCCAGTTCTTGACAACCTCTACAACCAAATTCCAGCTGCAGAGAAACCAGTGCCCACAATTCCAGGCACCAAACCTTACAGTAAAAGAATGAAAAGAAATGAAAAGAAGAAACTAGAATGCTCAAACCAGTTTTATGCAATTCTGCAGTGTGTTTCTTCTTAAAAAGAAAGCAATTTGCCTCAAGAAATAATTTCAAAGAACTTCACAAAAAACTAGCGCGAATCTTTCTTGAAAGAGTGCTAAAGTTTGCTTGCTTGATTGCTAAAAGATGTGTAAAAGATTGATATGTAAAAAGTTTAAGCAACTCTGTTTATATAGAAGATTTTCAAAACTGCTGGTTTGATTAATCTGTTAAAATAGTCTTTTAATCTATTAAAAGTGTAGTTTTAATCTGTTAAAACTTCTTTTAATCCATTAAACCGTTCTTGATCCTTTAACAGATTTGTTTTAACTGATACGACAACGTTTATATCAATTAAAACTCTTTACAAAAAATCTTCTAATTTGTTTTAATCGATTGTTTCGTGATTCAATCGATTAAAAAACTGCAAAACTTTCTTGTAAAATTTTCAAAGTGATTTTAACTGATAAAAATAAGTTTTAATCGATTAAAACGATGTGTAGAAATTTTCTAAGTTGTTTTAATCGATTGAAACGTGTTTTAATCGATTAAAAAGGTTTTGATTGGTCATAACTCAATTCTGATTGATCATATCTGATTCTGATCGGTCATTATTGCATTTTGATCGATCATCCTAAACTCTAAGTGGTTTTAATCGATTAAAACTATGTTGTATCGATTAAAATACTGCAAAAACACTTCTCTTAACATTTTAAGTGATTTTAATTGGTTATTTCGAAGCTGTATCAGTTAAAATACTAACAGAAGGTTTTCAAAACTTTCTTTAGTGAAAACAATCGGTTATTTCGAAATTATATCAGTTAAAAACTTGTTTAAAAAAGCTTTTGTCAAAATACTTTGTTTTTAACTGTTTAAACATTTTTAGAGGCATTTTGCAAAATCTTTTAAGTGAAGAAACCTCATGCAGCAGAAAAGATAAAAATGATTATACCTAAGCAGAGCTGCAGACATACTAATCCCTCTACTCTTTTATCTAAGTGACTTTTGTCCGCTACAAAGTTGCCTTTGACTTCATCAAATCAATAAGATCTTTGCCAAAGTATTTCAATAAGATCTTCATCACTTTCATTCTGTACACGAAAAAAAGAGAAATCTCGCCAAGAACACGAGACAGCCGTCCCGTTTGGCCAGACGGTCGTCTAGCCTCATAAGGGCGAGACGACCGTTTCGCCCTGACTGGTACGAAAACCTATAAATAGGACCTCGTCCCCCCTCATTACACACAATTCACACAGTTTTCATCTCTTCTCTCATCTTAGAAGCTCTCTTAAGATTTCGAGATAACTCTGAGCACTTTCCAGAGTTTGAGAGTCTTCCGATTTCCGTTTAAAGTAGAAATCGGTTAAGAAGGTCTCCTTTTGAGACATCCGACACTTGGTAGAAGGGTAATTTATTTTATTCCGGGAGAGGAGCGTGCTTGTAGAGTGCAGGGACAACAAAAAAACGTCCTCATTTCTTGAAGAATTAATATAAAAGCTCGTTTCAGAGGTTTCTTTTTTATTCTCTCTCCTTTATTGCTTTCTTTATCGCTTTCCTTGTATGCATTAGACACTAGGATCATGTAGATATTTAAAATTCTGCAAGTAGTTAAATAAATAGGGTAAAAACATAATTTCTTAGTCTTTATTTTATAAACTAGTCCATCATAGGGAATCCGAAAGGGGCATTTTGGGGTGCTAACACCTTCTTCACACGTAATTAATTCCCTTACCCAACTCTGGTTGTAATGGCCAAAGTTGGTTTTCTAAAACCAGCACCTTTTTCTTCCTTTTTTTATGTTTACGGTAAAAACATCGGTGGCGAATCCATCAAACTTTTTTTGAAAACCTCTCCTTTAGGTCTAACCCAGTTATCGGACAACCTAAAGGCGTTGAACATCTTCTTTAAAAAATGCGAGTCAATCAAAACCATCGCATCGCTCTGATCGCCTCTTTTGACGACGGCGACAAAATGTTCAAAGTTAGTATGAAGAGCAACAATTTTTCATTTGATCGAAGGGGGAGCAACAAGTTGCATTTCTACTTACATAAAGCTCAATCAATCTTTATCACAAAAGACTAGGTCATTTCCATCATTTGGTAATGAACTACATGCTAAAAAAATAATTAGTTGGTGGAGTTCCTTCTTTGACAAAAAAGTCAGTCAATTGTGAAGCTTATAAATTGGGAAGCAAACAAGGAAACTGTTTTCTGAAAGTAGTTAGAGGGCAAGTAAAAAATTATAGTTTATTCACAATGATGTTTCCAGACCACAAAGAACTACATCGCTAAAAGGAAGTATTTATTATATTATTTTTATTGATGACCTAATGAAAATGTGTTAGATTTACTTTCTTTAAATACAAATCAGAAATAGATACGGTGTTTTGGAAATTCAAAGATCACGTTCGAAATTAAAGTAATTGTTGTAGACAAAATTTGATGGAGGAGATCGAGTTCATCCGAGCAAATTTTGAAGCCTAGTTGGAAGCCTTCTTTACCTCACAAGCACCAAATCCAATTTTTTGCTAAGTATTGTAAGTCGATTTATGAAGAATCCAAACTACTCTCACTAGAAGGCGTTGAAGCAAACATTGAAGTATATTTGAGGTACACTGTCACTCAGACTGTTGTACACGAGGTTAGACAATTACCGACTTATCGGGTACTCAGATAATGACTAGTGTGGAGATTTGATGATCGGAAAAGTACATCAGGGTATGTATTCTTCATGGGTTACACAATGTTTACCTGACTTTCAAAGAAACAACCCATAGTGACATTGTCAACTTGTGAAATCGAGTACATAGCAGCATTGTGGAGTGTGTGTCATGAGTGTGACTCAGGAATTTGCTAAGCTCGGTCAAAGAAAAACAACTCGGTGTAATGGTGATCCGAGTTGATAACAAGTCGACCATTAAACTGACAAAAAATTTAATCAACCATGAGATGAGCAAACACATTAATGTGCGTTTTCACTTCATCCAAAAACATGTGAATGAAGGAAATGTGGAGTTCGTGCATGTGACAAGCCAAAATCAAGTTGCTGATATTTTCACGAAGTCACTGCTTACTATTTTGTTTGAAAACTGCAAGAGGGTAATTAGAATAAAAGTTGGAAAGAGTTCGGGAGCTCGGGTACTTGAGTGCTCGACAAGTAAACAAGTCGGCTAGTTGGGAGCTCGAAAACTTTTGAGTCCAGGAACTCAGGACGTTTTGAAGCTCAGAAAGTGTTGAAGATCGACAAGTCGAGAGGGTGGGAAATCAGTCATGCCAATATCAATTTTTGTTGCTAAGAGATTTAATTTTAAGGAGAAATTTTGTTAGATAAAATTAAATAAGAGATATTTAGTTTTAAAGTTTATGGAGATATTTTAATTTTGTTGATACTACGAGCATTTATTATTTGAGAGTTAATATCTTGAATTTTAGAAAGATAATATTATAATTTTTTTGGAATAGTACTTAAATAATTCTGATTTATGTAAAAAAATATATATATCAATTTTCTAAAATTCTTTGTTATAAAAAATAGGAAAATGATACTTTGACAACCCAAATCCATACAACTCCCGTATACAACTCTCTTTTAATATTATAATAATAGTTTTAATTTATTTTTATTTTGAGTGGTGATATTTTGACAACTGGAAACCATACAACCCTTCAAACAACTCACTTTTATTAATATAATAATCTATAAAATGATTGAATATAAATAAAAATTAAAATAAAACTATTATTATAATATTAAAAGAGGGTTGTTTATAGGAGTTGTATGAATTTGAGTTGTCAAAGTATCATTTTCCTTTTATTTTTATTAAATCATTCAATAGATTATTATATTAATAAATGTGAGTTGTTTGAAGGGTTGTATGATTTGTGGTTGTCAAAATATCACCACCCTAAAAAATATTGCCAAGCCAGTAGATAAAAGCCACACACCAGTGAACCTAGCACAGCGCACATGCTGGAATTTAGGGGGGCATGACAGTGGTGAGTGATAAGCCCATCCCCACTGGAAAATTGGAATCTGTGTAGAGCATCCCTTATGATTTCCTTGAACCAAGGACAATAGGTAGCCAAATCAATGACCTTCCTGGTCTGTATGACATGAACTATGTGCTCGATGGAAATAGCTCTCAGCACTTGAGGAAAGTGGCTACAGTGAGAGAAAATGTCTCTGGGAGGAAACTAGAGTTATGGTCAAACCAAGTTGGTCTGCAGTTCTCTAGTGGTGGCATGTTGAATGCTACAAAGGGTAAGAATGGAGCCATTTATGATAAGTATGGTGGCATTGCCTTGGACACACAGGACTTCCCTGATTCTGTGAATCATCCAAATTTCCCATCACAGATTGTGCGTCCCGGTGAGACATACAAGCACTACATGGTCACGATTTGCAGAATTTAATAAATCTACTCCTATGTATCATTTTCCCTTTTTATCATGTGAATAGAAACATAATAATCTCTTGGATTACTTTCAATGCTTTGGAGTTGTCTACTTAATTGAAACAAAACCAGAGTGTGTGCACATTAAAAAACGGATATATTTATCTTATTTTATTTACTAAAAAATTTGCAAAATATAATTTTAACAAATTTATCTATGTAAATAAATACATGGATAGGTAGGTTTGACTTAACCTTATTATACAAGTGCAATGAAGAATTAGCAAATGTGATAAAATTTTATGCACTAAATTTTACCTTAGTTGTAATTCTAAGACTCAACTTTTTAATTTTTGAGAATACAATTTAAACAAGAAGATGTTCATCTATATGCTGGGTATAATACTGATCACTGAGAGCGTAAATATATATAAGTTTAACATTTTTTTTAATATTTTTTTTTCCAAAATGATGATACTAAATTTATAGAGATTAACAATAAAGTTAAATGAATATCCACTTCTCTTTAGAGATGAAATATTTTGATTTTATAAATAAGTTATTTTGTGTTAGATGTTTTTTTTTCAATACTTAATTAAATGAGAAGTTTCGTGTGGATGTAATTGTATGATTATTTTTTTTATCAAATATTCATTCAACAACTATTTTATATTATTATTTATTTATCTTATTTTATTCTCTTTCTATCAATAAAAAAAATATTTTAAATTTATATATTAAATGTTTGCAAATTAATTGTCAAAAAAAATCTTTACTTTAATTTTTATTTGACGTAATTAAAAGGACTATGCTTAGAAGACCAATTAGTTTAAATATTAAAAATGTAGCATGCAAATAAAAGTAATACTTAACTTTATTTTTCTTAATTAAATATTTGAGAACTTTTAATAAATTATTTACTTTTATGATATGTTTATTTAAAAGTACTATTTTTTGTTTTTTTTATTATTTTATTTTCTTACCTAAAGGTAATGTTCGGAAATGATTAATTTAAGAGATAATGAAGTAATAATCTTGAGAATAAATAATAAGAGTTAACTAGTATTTTACAATTAGCAAGGTAAAGATTTACTTTTGTATAAGTAAAAGACCGTGTGAAAGATGATGATTAAGGTGATGGCAAGAATATATATTTCCTTATAATAACTTAATTCTTAATAATTTTTCCTTTGATTTGTAATATGCCTTGTTGAATGTATACGAAGTGAAACTATACTATGATATAAAACAAAATGCCACAAGGAAATGATTTAAATATTTATCTAAAAAAAGACTTATAAGATTGTCGTGGAAGAAGAAAATAATATTCTTTATACATATGAAAGGGAGAATTTTAATTTATAGCCATTATTATTTTGTGCTATTAAGGAAATTTTGGCATTTAAGAATTTAAATTATTAATTATAATGTTAAAGGACACCATATTTGTCCTATATTTGAATACACATAAACTAAAATATGAGAAATAGACTTACACCATCCATCAATTTTTTTTTTAAAATATAATCAGTCATATTATAGATTAAAAAAGACATCTTGTAATAATAAAAAAAAAAAGTTGGTTTTGAAGTTTTAAAATATTTTATTTGCTTTTTATTCTTTCAATAAAATCTAAAAGTATTTGTTTCCTTAAATTTTAAAGTAGATATAGATAACAAAAGTGTTAAGTGTGATAATCATTAATTAGAGAAAAAAATGAATCAACTGAATTGTTGTAACACTGAACTAAAATATAAAAGTGGTTCTACCAAATTAAACTACATGACTTCTAAGACAAACTTAACTTCATTTTGTAATAGTTCATACATTTTGCAGTTCTTCAAACTACCCAAATAATTTGGACTAGTCTCAGAAAACATCTTATTCCAGAATATGTTTTTCAATTTATTTATTTAGTTTACAGATCAATTAAGTTTAATTAAAAACTAAACTGGAAAACCAATTTAATTCAGGTTCTCTATTCAAATGGTTAAATGTTTTGAACAACTTTGAAAGGATTATATATATGTAGTTAACAAGTATAACATAATAATAAGATTAAAAACCTTATTTCAACTTTTTGAAAGATGAAAAAGAAAATTAGAAATGCTAAAATCATAACTCACTAATTTTATAGAGATTAAAAATATACTAAACGTCAAAAATATTCATTATTTTCACGCTATCACACAATCTATGATCCCTTCAATGAATTATCTCGTACTTGAGCCGAGATAGCTATAATTAAAAACTATAAAGGTTCAGATTTGGGACTAATTAAAAATACATTGTGGATCTAATATCTACGTGTGCAAAGAAAGAGAAAACGTATATTTAGCAAAGCACGAACTCTGAAACTTTTATTTAATATCTAAAGAAATCGGGCTTTGCAGAAGAAGTAATCATGCATATTAGTGGACAAAAACCAGAACAAAAAGAGTGAAACGAAAAGGGAATAAGAAATACACGACTACTGGATCGGCTCAGAAGAAGTGAAGTGCTTCTAACTATGAATTATGGGATAAACTACCGATCTATTGCATAAGTAAATTTCTAATTATTGCAGCTTGTGCAGTGTCAGTTGTAGCCAAGAGCTCAGACAAACGCTCGCTTAGATCGTCCACTTCCCTGTGTAAGCTTCTAATATAGTTGCATGTCTCTTGCAACACCTTCGAAGCTGAAACCTGAATGCATATTCAAAATATTTCATTTTGTTAAAACATTTCTACTATATACACAACATACATATATTTGCTGTCTAGTGGTGTCTTTACATTTTATGCTAGATTGGGTTTGTGTTTCTCTTATTTTTCATTAGTTTTAAGATGGATATGAACTTTCAAATGCTGGACTGGTTTTCAAATAAGAAAAGGGAGATGTGGGTTCAAATTATCAAAATGTAAATTTAATTTGAAGAAAGAAGTATATCAAGGTACGATTATGTTAGGTCCAATGATGTGCTAAAGATTAATATATACCGCTTGACAAAATCAGCCCCAGCAACATAATGAAATAATATTGTGGTTGTGGCAATGTATGCAACTGCATCCCATTACACTCTTTGAAAATCACAGGAAAATTGACAAAGAATCATGTCCCAACTGCCTCATAGTCCTCAATCAATTGGTTATCATTCTTCTCCTCTCTTTATTTGATCAATTTATAGTGAATTTTGAAGGACAAGAGATATAGTAAGATGATATAGCTTGCAACTGTCACAATAAACTTTGCAACATCTCAGCGCAATTTCAAACCATGAATTGAAAACTAAAATCAGTAATATATCAAACTGATACTTTAAAGTTGACAGCCTATGTGCTTTGTAACCATATCTTGCATTATGGCAAACTAATTAACTTGTAGAGCTTAATTTGACAAAAACTAACAGTTAGGTAAATGAGAATGTGTAGTTAAGCACAGAAAGAGGAAGAATCTTGTAGAACCAAGAAAAAAAAAAAGTTGAATGTATGCAGGAGGAACCTTGTCAGAGCGCCTATCGCGAATCTCTGGGAGAAGCTGTTGCAACTTGGAGACAAGATCATTGATCTGATCATCGGTGATACTCCTTGAACTACTTGTTTGCCGTGACCGTGACCTCCTGCTCGACATCTTATATAATATATAAAGAAACCAACTACTTTTAGGTCTAATTGAGAATCCTAGCCACCAATATGTGTACTGATATGGTAATAATCAGTTATGAAATAAAGCTAGTGTCGGTTGAGAATTTGAAATTGGCAATAGAGAGGGGAAAATAATTAAGTAGTCAAAAGAGAATCAAAGATGAAGAATGGATCGATGGAGGTGGGGTTGTAGAGTGTGTAGAATAGCCAGTGATGTTGGGGATCGAGAAAGAAATTAAGCCAAGTAATGCATGGGAGAAAGAAGAGGGTTGTGGTTGTATTTAAACAGGGTTTTGGAGAGAGAGTGAGAAGAATCAACTTTCTAGAGATATGCTATAATATCGTCCAAGAGTGTTCCCGAATTGGGGTTAGAACTTGCAGAGTACCGTGTGCATGTTTCCAGTGAGAGAAAGTGAAGAAGATATAGAGAGAGAGAGAGAGAGAGAGAGAGAGAGAGAGAGAGAAAGGTTTGTTCTTTTGTTTTCGACCTACTCGGTGTGTCAGTCTCTACACGCAATACCATGTTATCTAAAGATTTCCAACAGTGCTATAGTGCAAAAAAATACTATTATATTCTTGGGTGTGTAACTCGTTTGATACAAGAACTTGCAACCTATTTAGCAAAATCTTAACGACACTTTTCCAATAATGCCCACAAATTTGTGTGAGCTGCGAGTGAGGTCACTTGTTATTAAAATAAGCAAATGATTAACCAGCACTCGCAGCAGTGTCAAGTTTCATCCTAGATATTTGTAGATACTATTTATATGGGACAATAAAATAATGGGTAGACAAAATGGGGGAGCAGCAAATTAGGGTAACGTGATCACTAAGAACTTAAGTTGACTAGTCAATGCAAACTCTCTCTCTCTCTCTGTGTATATGTTTTTAATTCTTATTGGACATGGTGGTCTTCCAGGCGTTTCCGGAACCGATCTATTCTAATCTGCAATCGACCTAAAGGAAGAAGAAAATGAAAGGCATAGCCATAGCTGTGTTTGGGAAAAATACATACTGGCATAACATTTCTAATGATTGGTGAAAAGACAATGCTGCATATTCACAACAACGATTACTCATACTTTATAATCTGCTACCATCTATAGAAGTGTGAATTAAAGTTTATGATATCGGTAAAATGGAAAGCAGCACATATTCATGTACTTAATTTTTATTCTTAAAAGATACATAGAGATAAAGGAAATAGATGATATTAACGAGACATGAGTGAGATTAACGTCACCTATAAATCAAAATATTAAGATATTAAATTATAGATTCAACTTTCTTATTCTTATTATACTTATTCTCACAATTCAACATGGATTTCATTTTAAAATTGGGGTCTCGGGATGGGAGGGGCTTGGGTGTTTTCAAACATATAGTTTTAGATTATTATCTTGTACTTCTGATAAAGCTATTTTCTTTTTGGAATACTAACGGAGTTTAAAGGACGTAAAAGAAGGCAAAGAAATGAAAAATAAATAATTTAATAGTTTTTTTTAATATATGTTTTTCTTCCCTTTTCACCCATTAAAAAATATCCCTCATTTCTCTTCTTCCTTCACTTGTTACTTCCTTTACTATTTTTCGGTAATTGGATTTTTCCTCTTGCTTTGATGGTTCGACTCTTTATTTACCAAGAACTTCCGGGTGAAAGGAAGAGGTAAAAGGAGTAAAGTCATTAATAAAAAAATTGGGTACATATAACAATAAGAGGAAAAAAAAAACTAATATATATCAGAATGCTTTCAAAAAAAAAAAAAATATATATATATATATATATATATATATATATACATATATATGTATGGTTTATACATGTAGATTTTGTTATAAAAAAACTTTCATTAAAACAAGTGATGGTGATAGGTGAGATTGTTGAAGATAGTAGGAAAATTCAAATCAATATGTGTTTTGAATGTTGAAAAACATTGTTTGTTTTAGGCATATACTTACCTCGACTCAAAGGGTTTTGGATTAAAACCTATCCCAACTACAAAATACCCATGAATGAACCTACAAATGTCTAATTGTAGTTTTCTCTTCCATTAGGCATGTGCTTGCACTAAAACACCATTCTTTCTCCTCAATGATCATTTCTCAATGTTTCTCTCCAAACATATTCTTGGATTTCCACTAGGTACTTATTTTGCTTTAATGAATCAGAACACAAAACTACTACAATCTTTCTCTAATAAGAATATATATATATATATATATATATATATATATGTATATATGTATATGTATATTTGAAGAGAAGGATGTGAGAAATAATAATTTCTGTTTTTTTTTTAATAAAATGACATTGTGCTCACAAGCACAATAAATTATTCAAAGATATAAAATATATATATATATATATATATATATATATATATATATATATGTTTTGAAGTTTTTCTATAAAAATGCAAAATCAATATGTGAAGTAGTAAAGGAGAATGTTTTATTATTTTCACATTATGATTTCGGATTTAAGTTACCATCTTTGAGTAAATTAAGATAATAAAATATGTTTTTAAAAATCATAAGACTATATAGAAGAAAACACAAAATAATCAATAGATAAAGATTATATTGAATTTTTAGTGAATTATCCAAAATGAATTGTTTTCCTAAAGACTTATTGATGCATTTTTCATCTAAAAAACAATGGATAAATTTTAGAAGGATAAAATATGTTTTTTATGTAATAATTATTACAAATATTTGTATTTAGTACAAGTAAAATATATTGTTTGATTTTTATATTAATTAAGTTTTTATTATCGTGGCTAGAAAAATTATTAGTTTCATACCACTGTTGATATGTATGGATTTAAGTCTCATTTAGTAGTCATGACCTTCCATAAATTTGAATTTAAAACCATACACATTAATATATCCGTCACATAATTATCCATATGATATAAAACTAACAATATTTTTAATAAAGACGATTAAAGACTTAATTAAGTAAATTCTTTCTATGGTGTAAATTCGTTAGTTACAAGCTAAATTTTACTCTCTTTTTTTAGAGTAAATTAATATTTCTTCATTTGTTGATAAAAATAATAGTTTAAGAACTTAAATTGAAGTTCAACTAAAAGGGTTTTTGGATTCTATGGAAAGCATCTTCTAGTAGCCAAATAATAATGCTCCCAAAAGATCATGTCAAATATTTTCTAAAAAAAATTATAATTTTAATAAAACAAATCTAAACTCATTTTGGTTTACATTTTAAAACTCGTTGAGTTATAATTCCACTCTCTCGAGTAAGGAATCAATCTAAAAGAAACAATCTGATTGGAAGAAAAGCATGCCCACATGATCATAAATTCTTTCTAACATGGATACTCGTTTATGTAATCATTGTCTTTGTCTAATAATATATATAGACAAAAAAATAAATAATTTTTTAAATGTAATGAAATATATAATAGCCGCCTCAATTTTATTTTATTTTTATTCTCCCATCACCCTAGCTAGATGGTGTAAATTCATCTCCAAACTCAAAATACGATTAATAAAAAATTTAAATTTCAACTATGGTTATAGAATTTACAATATATTGAAACGATACTATATGCGAATTGTTTTACATTTAATATTCATGAATTAAGTGCAAAGTTTTAATACTCTCATTTGCATATTTTCGACTCTTCAACGCTCAATGACTAACTACTTTTAATTGTAAATTGTAAAATTATCATTTAAATATTATACTACAAAGTAAAGATTTAATTTATGTATATTTTGGATTTGATATTTAATTCAAACAGAATTAAAAGTAGAAACTAAATTTGGTAAAGCATTTATAACTCATCAAAATAATTGAATAAATAAGTAATCAAGAGTTGTTGAATAATGTAACGATTGAAGAAATAGGTGAATCACAATTATGGAGTGTTGGGTTGGCATGTTCAATGAAGAAGAACATTTTTAAATGAAAGGAGGATTTTTCAATGGAATTTTGAATCAATAATTTTTTTTTATTTAAAACCTGAAACTCAAGAGAAGTGGAGGGAGTTGGAGAAACCAGGAGAGTATAGCACAAGACAAATTTTGAGCTCTAATTTATCAGGTCTCTGCTTCTTCTCTTGCAAAATTCTGGTTGCTTTTTGTAAAGTTCATGGCTTTCTCTTGGCAACATATGCTTTGATAGTTTCCGCACAAAAATCAACCGAGAGCGAAAGAGGACAGTTACTTTGGGAAGCAATAATTAAATTGCATCTTCTGTCAAACAACTCACAAATTTGCTGCACATCTTTATTCTTTGGAATTTGATGCAGGTTTGCTTTTAAAATACTATAGAATTTAAGCTTGACTTGGTTATTCTAAACATGACATTACCTTGAACTTTAATTCTTTCTTAAGGAATCTGATCAAATATCAATTGAAGAAGACTAGAATAGTGCCTTTTTTTTTAACTTTTAAACAAGAGGGGCAACATAATTGCTTCTAAGGAGGTCATCGTCTCATAGAACATGTTTAATTGTGAAGTTCTTATTTTATCTGATGCATTTAAATGGTGCCTTAATTTGTAAGTGTGGTTATCAATTTGGTTACTTCGTAATGAATTAGGAGGGGAACTGTTGGCATTAACAGGATTGGGATCTTATTTAATTGATCAAGGTCTTGTGTTACATCAAAGGAATACGTAGGGGTTTCTCTCTTTATGTCAGATTAATATATATTTTTGTTCTGTAAGTGTACCTCTATAGGGTCTATTAGAATTAGATAATAAATAACTCTTTGGGAAATGATGTTTGAGAGTTGGAATATCCCTTGTCCTCCAATAATAAATTTGTTTTCCAGATAAAAAAAATATATAATGAGCAAATGCCATCTTCTAATTAAAGATTTCAATACAACAAACACACTTGCAGCTGTGATATGGCAATAAAAACGCATGCAAATTGTATGGTTTTGACATTATTTTAATCGTATAATTTATCTAAAAATATGACTGATTTAAAAAAATCTTACTTCCACAGCAAT